AATAGAAACAAATTATGACGCAATAATTCCCATGCTTGTTTATGATGCAAGAAAGGACGAGATCGAACCATGCTACACTTCTGAATCTGAGAGGAGTGATCTCCACAATGAGGTCATTGTAATGAGTTATGAAAATGTCTGCAGGCTCCATGATGCATGATGACAAAGGAGTGTGGGCATGACTGGCGTCTGTTACTCACACCCATAATTGCAGATGTTCCCAATTCAATGAGAAGTTAGTGAAAGCTTTCCGTTCTGGAACCTAGGGAGCTCTTGGGATTGGTGGGCCCAAGGTTAGGAAATCTCTATCTAGTGGGGACTGGCGGTGGCCCAGCAGTAATGCAACTGGACTCCCAAGGGAGGGTCCTGATTTCACCTTGTGGGACCTCCCTGAGCAGGTGGGGGGGCATTCTTGTCCACTGAGATAGGGCAGGGTGGATCGCGGTGTGAGGACCTTGTTGAGGTGCCTATCTCTCTTCTCTCTCATGAAGAAATAAAACCTAAACAAATAAAAGTCATTCCAAAGTGAGGCCAGCAGGTAGTTTAGTGGTTAAGACGAACTCCCACGTGGTTGACCGTGGTTCAAGTCTTGGACCCAGGGGCTTGAAACTCACGCCAGGTGCATGTGTGTGCATGCCCCAAATCCCAAGAAGAAAATGGAGGAGAAGAGACTGTGGTATGGTCATCCCCCCAGGGGGGTAATTTCTCACTGTCTGTGTCTTTGTCACTCCGGTGTGCACACATGTCTTATAGCAAAAGTCCCTCAAAAAAATTATTACAAAATAGAAGAAACCTTTCTCTGGTCCTGGGGAGACCATGTGTCAGGCTGTTGCTCTCTCATACAGGGCCATATGGCAGCGGGTGAAAAGCCAGCTTCCGGGTAGAAAGCTGCTCCCTGCAGTGAGCTGTCTGACCTGAGCTTTCTGAGTCTCAGTTTCCTCATCTGTCAGAGGAGTGACAGTGACTGTTTCATAGCGACTCATGCTGTGAGCAGGAGCTAAGGAAACACTGAACCCAAGGCCTGCCACCCCGAAGACCCAGGGTTGACCCAGAGCTTTTGGTGTCTGTAGTGAGAGTCTGGCTCACAGAACTTGGATGAAATAGTACCCAGGGAGCCTGAGTTGTTTTTCCTTTACTGTTCAATGTTAGCAAAAGCACAACTTTAACAATGTGCATCTTTGTTGTTACACAGGCTACCTAAAAATCTTAATCCAAGTCTAGCAAATTGTTACCAGCACCTTTAGTAGGCTTTTGAATAATACTAGGTCTCATTGACTAACATAAACACTTCCAAATAGTTTAAACTGCATATATAGACATAACCAAATAGATTTCATTTGTAATTTTTTAAAGTTTATTAACTTTTTTCCATGAGAGAGTGAAAGAGTTACCCCCAACTGGGTTTTCATGTAGCAATCCACCCTAGACTCTGTGTGCTCACAGAGCTCCCAAGACACAAAGCCAGGACCTCTCCATGAGGGGCCGATGGTGTTGCCACTGCTCGAAGCTTCTAATACTCCATGTTAATTATTTCTGGGTTTCGAAAGAGATTTATCTATTAAAAAATAAACTGTTTTATCATCCTACATAATTTTAGCTTACTAGTTATGTCTATTAAATATTTAAAGAACTAATCCCAATTCTACACAAACCCTTTCAGAAAATAGAACAAGAATCATTCCCCAACTCACCCTGCAAGGCCACTATCTCCCTAACGAAGACATCAAAAGCAAAGAAACCTATGGACTGATGTCCCTCATGAACTTAGATGCAAAAATCCTGAACAAAATATGAGTAAATGGAATCCGTCAATATGTAAAAGGATTATACACAGTGACCCAGTGGGATTTATCTTACATAATTTTGGACGTTACCTTCTTATGTAATTTTTTTTAGAAAGATTTTTGCTATAGGGCCCATGCACTTGCCAGAGAGACAGAGAGAGACAGAGAGACTGAGAGCAAGAAATCACTCCTTGAGGGGAATGGCCACGCTGCAATCTCTTCTCCTCCATTCTCCTCTCGGGAGTTTGGGCACGCATGCACATGCCCAGCATGAGATTTAAGCCACCAGGTCCAGGACTCGAACCGCAGTCAACTTCATGGGTGTCCAGCAATGTAACCATTACACCATCTGCTCGTCCCCCTATGTAATTAAAAAAAAAATCTTTTCTTTTTGTTTTCCTAAAGTTTATTTATTTTATTCATGATAGCGCATGTGTGCACCAGACAGAGAAAAAAAAAGCACCCCAACAGAGTCTTGTCACACCGTGATCCCCTTCCCAGGGATTCAAACCTGCAGGCTGGTGTGTGGCTTCCACACTGCCGTTTTGTGCTGCTGCCTGTGTGACCAGGCTGAGTGCCATATCATTTTGGGGGCCACTCTGCCTCACACACTGTAATGTTAGCAGATTGAATTCTGGATATGTGCTATGGCTTGGCTAGCCCGGCCAACTTAAAAGACATTGCATAATGCTGTTCTTTCTTTATTGCTCACTGGAGAGACAGGGATGGAAAATAAGAAACCATCCCCTGGGGGGACGGCCATGCTGCAATCCCTTCTCCTCTCAGGATTTTGGGTGATCACGCATAAGCGCCCAGCGTGATCTTCAAGCCAGTGAGTCTGGGATTCGAATTGTGGTGTCGGCCCAATGCTTTAACCTCCATGCCATCTGCTGGCCCCCAGTGCTCTTATTACTAATAACTGATATTAGTTTAATAAAAAGCAGAAACGCATGTAAGTTGCAAAGAATGGTTAACGGAGTCTCAGTGGGCGTGAGAGACGCAGAGACTCATGCTGACTCTGTAGCTGTATGATTCGGCATCTAAGAAGGCAATCATGACCAAACATTCCAGAAGGAGAATGGCATGCATAAAGCAAACCCGTGTCTCTATTCTGACGGAAAGTGAGTGGGCAAGAAACCAAGGGGGGAGATAACAGAAGTGTGGACAGTGGATGCAACCCTTGGCCCCTCCGTACTTTATTGCGGGTGATGCTTAACAAAGTCTGTTTTTCTCCCTTTTTGGAAAATAGCTTTTTTAAATAAGTATTTTATTTAACTTTATTTATTTATTTTGATTTGACCAGAGAGGGACAGAGCAAGAGAGAGGGAAAACCAGGTCCTGGACTTAAATTGTGGTCGGTCATGTGGGAGTCCATTGCCCCTATCCACCATGCCACCTGCCAGCCCCTCGGAGAGTAAATTTTAAATAATCATAATATTTAGTAGCTGCATTTTATGATTTTGCCTGTAATCAGAAACTCAAGATTAGAATTAGGGTTCCTTTCTCCTACTTGGCAAATGAGCGGTACATCTGGCCAGCTCTCGACAATTTGATAAGGGTCATAAATATTTCGCTGGCTGGACTAATTACGGTTACTCTCATTCTCTCTTTGATAACTTTCATTTCCTTCCATGAAACTTCATACATTTCCTGTGGAGTAAAGAAGAGAGCAATTGGGATGGCCCAGACCTTTATCACTTGCAGGCAGATGTGTCAAAATGAGTCTCGTGACCCGCCTTAATGGTCGGCCATACTATAGGTGAGTTTTTTTAAAACAATGTATTGAGAACAGTTCTTAAAACTGCAGAGAAAGGAAAGAAAACTAAAGACGATGCCTGCCTTTGTGAAATTAACAGTCTAGGGGCCAGTAGGTGGTGTGGTGGTTAAGGTGCTGGACTCCCATATGGCCGACTGCGGTTCAAGCTCCAGATACGGCAGCTTGCTTTCTCACACCACTCTCCTCCCGGTGTGAGTACACATGCCCTATAATGAATTAATATTATTATTAAAGTAATAATAATAAATTTTTTAAAATTTTTAAAGAAATTAACAGTCTTGGGACCAGTAGGTAGAGGAGTGGTTAAGGTGCTGGACACTCCCACATGGCCAAGCACAGTTCCAGTTCTGAACCTGGTGGCTTGTTTTCTTACTTTCTCTCTCTCTCTCTCTGGTCAGATTAAAATAAATGAATGAATAAATTAAAAAGTAAATAAATAAGTCTTTTTTTAAAAAGGAAATGAACAGTCTAGCTTGAGAATATAAACCGTAATGCTGGGAACAACACGGGACTCCACATGAAGAGCTAGCATTTACTAAGCTAGTCTTATGGGATAGACACTGTGCATACACACACACACACACACACACACACACAATTCTCACAGAAACCTGGGAGAGTGCAGTATTTAAGTCCCCCCTACCCCCTTTAAACTACAAAAGTATGGAGGTTTTGAGAGATGAAGTGACCTCTCCCCAAATGGCCCACATAGACGGGTGGAACCAGGTTTCACACCGCGCCGGGTAGAGAGTTTCCAGGAGAAAAGCTGATTGAGAAAAGAGCTGCAGGTAAGGACTGAGATTGGTCTTTAATACTTCTGTAACCTTGGGCCAGTTATTTCATGGACATGATTCTCATCTTCATTATGTGCAAAGTGCCCCCCCCCCTTCACTCACTTGTCCTGAGAGTGAATATAGAATAAAGATTCAGTATGGTCAATCAGTGGATGAAAAATAAACACATCCCTGGGAACCCTCAGAGGAGCCCGAGGATCCGAGGATCCCAGCACCTGCGCTGACATACACCTCTCTGTTTGAAGAAGAACTAACAAAACCCTGCACTCTAAAAACGGCTAAGTGCAATAGAAGGGTTACCTGCCTCCACTCCTTTGCTACTGCCATCCCCGCTCCCCAGTTCCCGCTCCTTGTGAGAGCAGCCTGTCTAGGCACCTGCTGGACACACGCTTGACCTCAGAGAGAGCAGGCACAGAGCCTCTCGGGTGACCTTTTTTTGGCTAAGGTGGTCGCCCTCCCTATCTCGGGACACTCGGGTGACAGTGCGCGTCTTCCTTCTCCCGGCTTTCATTGAGAGGTGAAGGGGCCCGCGGCCGCC